CGGGGCAGCTGTGCTGCCGAGCCGAGGGGTACGCGGGCATCCCTCACCAGGAAACCTTCCCCGAGCGAAAGGCAGCGCAGAGCTGCCGTTTCACTTCTTTGCTGACGAAGGGAAGGAAAGGAGGTGGAGCTCAGGGTAAATCCCAGTGGCCATTTTAGGGCAAAGAGATTTTTAGGATGGCTTTTCATGTGTCTTTCATGTTGTGGCCCAGGAATTTCTTTCAGGACATCAGAGAAGTCTCCTGATTGTGCCCAGCAAGGGTCCTCTGAGCTGAGGGGCGGGCAGCGCAGGCAGCCTGAGCGCAGCCGAGCAGGTACGGCTGGCTCCTTGGCTCTTGCCGGTGCAGGATGCTGGAAAGGAGGGCTCGCTGTCAGCAAAACTGTCCCCTGGGTGAGTTGAACGAAGCAGTTGTCCTGGTTTCCGCTGGGATAGAGTTAATTTTCTTCCTAGTAGCTGGTATAGTGCTGTGTTTTGTGTTTAGTATGAGAATAATGTTGATAACATGCTCATGTTTTAGTTGTTGCTGAGTAGTGCTTACACTAGTGAAGGACTTTTCAGCTTCCCGTGCTCTGCCCGGTGCACAAGAAGCTGGGAGGGGGCACAGCCAGGACAGCTGACCCAGGCTGGCCAAAGGGCTGTGTCATACCATATGACGTCATGCTCAGCATATAAAGCTGGGGGAAGAAGAAGGAAGGGGGGACATTCAGAGCGATGGCGTTTGTCTTCCCCAGTAGCTGTTATGCGTGATGGAGCCCTGCTTTCCCAGAGGTGGCTGAACACCTGCCTGCCCATGGGAAGCAGTGAATGAATTCCTTGTTTTGCTTTGGTTGCGTGCGTGGCTTTTGCTTTACCTATTAAACTGTCTTTATCTCAACCCACGAGTTTTCTCGCTTTTACTCCTCCGATTCTCTCCCCCATCCCACTGGGGGGGAGTAAGCGAGCGAACTGGTGCTTAGTTCTTGGCTGGGTTTAGACCACAACAGTCCTTTTTTGGCACCCAATATGGGGCTCAAAGGGTTCAAGGTAACAACAGATTTGATTGGAATGTGCTAGATCAAATTTATAGCTGTTATTTCTCTTTAGCTATTGATCGGCCGGCTCCTGTGCTTGCCATGGGGCTTGCGTGCTTCACTGTATGTTAGTCTGGTGCTCGTTAGTGGCTGCTTTTTGCTTTCACTGCTTGCTGTACTGCTGAACTGCTTATCATCTTACTCTGCTGTGCCTGGGAGCATTTTGACAGCAGCAATGGCCATGCGCCTGGGCTGGCAGATGGCCAGGGTACCGCTGCTGTTTCTGTGCTGCTGTACTGGACAGGCTGGAACTCCAGCGTGAA